AGATCTGATGATTATAAAAGTTTTAGTCACTCATGCAACAACTATGATATTGGTGTTCCCAAAAGTGTCAGATAGGTTTTACTCAATAAACCAAAGTAGGCCTTCTTCCAATAAATATCACCATGATTTTGAGAATCAAAGGTCAATAATAGAACTTGGGAGCCTTAGGAAGTCATTCTATTACCATTTCCTAAAGAATGCAGATTAGGGTCTCCCTGTTGGTGCAGGAGTTAAAGTTTAGCCCTATCAAAGCTATCTCTAGCCACTATGACATAAATTAGATCCCCTATCCCCTGCCAGGGTGCTAACCCACATGGAACATCTGACCTCTCCAGTCTCCCCCACAGCTATGAGATTGGTGTTCCCAAATGGGTCAGAGAGGTTTTTCTCAATAAACAAAAGCAGGCTTTCTTCCAATAAATATCACCATGATGTTGAGAATCAAAGGTCAATAATAGAACTAACTTGTGCTCCCCTCAGCAGTATATTTCAGTTGATCTGCCTGTTCTACTCCTCACTCTGTCTCTGGTGAATCTTCTCACTCCCCGTACCTCTGGCCTACACCCCAGTTCTTGCATGCCTAAATAAATAAAAATAAACCCTTTAAAAAAAGAATATAGATTATTTTACATTAAGAGCAATGAAGATCTTAGAGACTAAGGAGAAATTTTGTCCTTATCCCAGTTGTTTTGATAGCAGGAAGACTGAGGGGCACCCAGAGATCCCCCAAACTTCACATGTTTAAAATAGGTGCTGCCATCTGCCTCATAAAGACAAAACATATTCTTGGTGTGCAAGACCTTCAATGATTGTGCTTAGAGAGAAGAGAGAAAAGGTAATAGTTTCCTGATGAAACACCCAAAATTTACCCATCCCCTCATGGGTAAATGCCCAGCCAACAGTATTAGCTCAAAGTAGGGCCACTGAAGTCCAAAATCCTGCCACAAATCTAAGACTCCTTCTGGCAGGGAACTACAGGAAAGGTGTAGAAGGGGCCAGCCAAGTCTGGAAAGAAAAGTGCAAAATCAAAGTACAAGTCAAAATAAAGTCTGCCATTGTCAACCTCCCCACGTCTCTTTCAAATGTCTCCTTCCATGTCCCCCAGATCCCTAGTGCAAGTCCAAGGTTGGGAAACAAACAACATGGCTTCTTTTTCACATGTCTCTCTGATCCAAATGCCTCCTCAAGTTTTGAGCCTTCTCTCTCAAGTCCTTTTTAGCTTCTGCTGGTTGTTCAGCTCTACCCTTCAATAGATGGGGCAGGGAACATTGGAAGTCTTCCTTCTTATATCACCCTGTTACAGTTTGATCTTTTTCCTAATTGAAGAAACAGTTGCTGCTCCCATTTTTATGACCTAAAAGAGTATGGCAGTGGTGGGGGGAGGGAGCGGTGGGCATTATCCAGGAACAGGTTTATTAGTCCTTCCTATCTGAGAAACTCATCTTTATATTGAGGATAAAAAGATGCAGTCACACCCTCCTTTGTCATTTTTTTTTTTTAAATTTTATTTATATTCGGGCCTCCCCGGTGGCGCAGCTGTTGAGCACTGGGTTGCAAAGCTGCCCGCGGCCTCTGCAGCGCCCGTTCGATCCCCGGCTGCTCCCCGGCCACCGCAGGAGGGTCCCACATGGAGCGCAGACCTCTCCTGCCGTCCTCTGCTCCCCTCAGCAGTGCACTTCGGTCCTTCTGCCTGCTCTGCTCCCCGCTCTGGCTCTGGTGAATTCTCTCACCCTCTCGCGCTTCTGACTGTACCCAGTGCATGTATAAACAAAACAAACAAACAAACAAATAAATAAAACATGCCTCTATAAAAAAAAAATTATTTATTTTTACACAAGAACTGGTGTATAGGCCAGACGCACAGGAGGGTGAGAGGATTCACCAGAGACAGAGCGGGGAACAGAACAGGCAGACTGATGAAATACACTGCTAAGGGGAGCAGCGAGCGAGACAGGAGAGGTCTGCAGCACCATGTGGGATTCTTGCCCGCGCGTTCAAACCCGCGCTGCAGAGGCTGCAGACAGCTTCACAGTGCGACACTCAACAGCCTGAGCCACCAGGGAGGCCCCTGTCATTTTCTTTTTAAAGATTTATTTATTTATGCATACAAGAACTGGGGTACAGGCCAGAGGTGTGGGAGATGAGACGATTCACCAGAGACAGAGTGGGGAACAGAACAGGCAGACTGAAATACACTGCTGCGGGGAGCAGTGGGCAGGACAGGAGAGGTCTGCTGCACCATGTGGGTTGCTCCCTGGCCAACTGGGGATTGAACACATGCTGCAGAGGCTGCAGATAGCTTCGTAGGTTGTGTCTTAACCCCTTGCGCCACCAGAGAGGCCTCTCTTTGTCTTTTGAAGACTCCCTTTCTTCTTGATGTCACAGTTCCTTAAACACAATGTACATCTCTGGTGTGCCCCATTTTCATCCCTGAGCCCAGACACCACTATTCATTGGCCAACCTATGTGTACTGGAAATACTGTACAAAGATCTTAAAACAGTCTTTGACTTCAGATGGTGACTAGGAAATAATATGGTAGATAAGTTGTTTAGTAAGGTTTGTTACGCAATGTTAGTCTTGTCTTCTGTAAAGGAGAAAACCTTTAATATGGAAATTTAAATTTATTCTCTAGTTATAAGCAGAGAGGGGGAGGTCACAGAGTTCTTCCAGTCAGTACCTGCTGTTTCTCAGTAGCTTCTGAAGGATAAACCTTCCTAAAATGTACCTAACAGCCTTTACCCAATGTGTCACCTTGGCATGTGGAGCTAAGTTCAAATGAGGCCCTGTAGACTGCACAGGAATCTTATCATTACTTTAACTACTTATAAGAATGAAGATTACCTAGATTTAGGTAGAAAGAAAACTATCTTATGGTTGGGCAAATATCTAGAACCTCTGGTTTTCTCATGTGAGCCTCCTCTCCCCTTGATGCTCTAGGCCATTCGTCAGCTCAAGAATAAAAGCCCTGGGCCTCCCTGGTGGCGCAGGCAGTTGAGCACCACAATGTGAATCTGTCCGAAGCCTCTGTAGCCGGTTCGATCCTGGGCGGCGAGTGAGAATCCCACATGGCACAGCAGACCTCTCCTGTGTCGCCGGCTGCTCCCCTCAGCAGTTTTTGGTCTGTTTGCCTGTTCTCGTCCCCACTCTGTCTCTGGTGAATCCTCTCACCCTCCTGCGCATCTGGCCTGTACCCCGGTTCTTGTATAAAAATAAATAAATCTTAAAAAAAAAAAGAATAAAAGTCCTGGGTCTGTCCTATTTACTCTAGAATTCACAGTTATTTAAATTCTCCACATATATTTCATTAAATTTGTTCTTTTTTCTTCTACTAATCTGTCTGATGTTAATTTGCTTGCTTGATGGGCCTGAGAAAAAACTTGAGAGGGTTAGAGGTAAATCTCCCCTTTGCCTTATACCTGCAGCTCAAAATAACTTTAATGCCAAAGTGGCACATTTTTGTGTGGAATAGTCTGATCGTCAACATTGATGTGGAATACCTTTTTTTTTTGCAACTTTTAGTTCATTACTATTACACTGACCCATGTTTCTTCCTCTATTATATGATCAGCTGCTTAAGAAAAAGGCCTGTCATTCATCTTCACATCTTCAGGATGGAGTGTTAGACAGACCCACTGTATCTTTGTAATCACCCTATAGTTGCTATGAGCGTGCAAATCAAATATTCAATTTGTTAGCATTCTTTTAAAATCAGAGCAACAAGCTTGATGGTTTTTCGTATACAGTCTTCACATCAACTATAGTGGTTGCTAGGGTTGTCTTTGCTTCCATCCCCATTCTAGGATGCATTGAAGGTAAGTCAGGGGCCTCCCTGGTGGCCCAAGGGGTTAAGACACAATCTATGAAGCTGTCTGCGGCCTCTCCAGCACTGAGCACGATCAGAGGCCACGGAGGTGACCCCATGACAGCCAGGGAGGTGACCCAGATGGTGCAGCAGACCTCTCCTGGCTCACTTGCTGCTCCCCTTAGCAGTGTCTTTCAGTCTGCCTGTTCTGCTCCCCACTGTCTCCGGTGAATCCTCTCACCTGCGCACCTCTGGCCTGTACCCTAATTCTTGTATGCATAAATAAATAAATCTTTAAAAAAAATCAAGATATGTCAAATGTTATTCCTAAAAAGAGGCCACAAAAATGGTTTTCAACCATTTCAGTAACTTATTTTAATTTTCCGTTTATTTTAAAATTTATTTTACATTTTAAACAGGCAGGCTTAGTAAAAGGAGAAGACACTTGCCAAGACACTTGCAGGCAGAAAAAGTACATCAGTATCTTAACCTTCAAAAAACAGCAGCTAGTTCCTTTTTTAGGCATTAAAAGCATTGTTAAAAATTGGAGACTTGGCCCCAAGTTGGCTTTAAAAAAAAAAAGACAAAGTAAAATATTTAATTGTACAGATGGGCAGGGCCTCTTTCTCGTACATCTTGCTCTTTTGTAATCAGAACTCTGTGTTTTGAAAGCTCTGGCAAAACCAAACACAGGGATCCTCAGGAGACCCCGGGTCAGGCAATGCTTTCAGTCGGGGCCCCATCTCGCCCGTCAAAGCGTGAGAAAGACGCGTCACAGGAAACAACAGGCTGCCAAAGGCCGCGGGAGGCCGCCCCGCTCCAGAGCGGAGGCGGGACCCAGCGGCGCGGGGCCGCGGGGGGCTGAGGGGTGCTGAGGGGGGGCTGAGGGGCCCCCGGGTTCGCGCTTCTCCGCCCTGCCCGCCCCAGGCCGGCGTCGCCCGCGCGACTCCGAGCACCCCCCGCGCGCCGAGCCCGGGCATGCAGCGCCTGCGGGCCTGGGCCTTCCGCGGGCTCGCGGCCTCCTGCGGCCTGCTCGCCGGGCCCCACGCCCCCGCCCGCGGCCGTCGCCCCCTGCCCGGTCCGCACGCCCCGCCCCCGGGGCCCCGCCCGGCCCCGCCTCCGCCTGGGCCTCGCGCCCAGCCCGGGGCCGCCCAGCCTGCCCGCAGCCGCTGCCGCCGCCAGCCGGGCCGCGCCGCGCGCGCGCGCCGCCGCCATGGAGCGCCCCGGAGCGGGTGAGCCCGGGCTGCCGCGCGGGCCGGGTGGGGGCGGCGTGGGCCGGGCCCAGCCCTGCGCTCGGGCTCGAGGACGGCGCGCCCCGTCCGGCTCCGAGGCTCCTCTCGCTCCGGCCGCGCGCACCGGGGAGCGGGGCCCCCCTGGAGGGACTGGTGCGCGCGTAACGGAGCCTTCCTGCACCCTGCGCAGAGGGCTGCGAGTCCTCTGCGAACCCCATTTTTGTTTGCCCTTTCTCGCCTTCGACCTCTAGTGCAAAGTTCATGCCAGCATGCTCGCCCCGACGGTGTTTGTGTGGTCAACAAAACCCAGGAAAATAATCTCGATTTTTATCCTAGATGACAAACATGAAAGACCTCAACCTCCACTCGGTTGCATATAGGGTTTTCCCCTTCGAAGCTTGCAAAAGAGCTCTTTAAAAACTGGCGCCAGCTGAACTTTGTGGCCAGAGCGAGTTAGGGGTTGGACTTTAGGTGGAAAGAATCAAATAGTAATGAGAAAATGGGTGCTGTTCTGCTGGGTTTTAGGGTAGAAACGCATTAGATTAGAAACATTAAAATGTTAAAAGGTGTTATTGATAGCGGTTAACTAGTGTAAATATTCTTACAATTGTTAGGGGAAATGCGTGATTAAGACCTTGTGGGTGTGTGTCGAGGGCGGGAGATTTTGAGATGCATTTATCCTGGAGAACAGGTGGGAGAATCGTTTAGCAGAAAGGAGTCACCCATTGTTCGTGTCTTTTGTGTCTGACCTTGCAATTTAGGATGCTGACAGCGTGTTTGGGTCTTTTTCTTCCTCATTTTAACAAAGTTAAAGATGCTTGTGGAGGTTGCTGCCCCCTACATTCCTTTTCAGTTTTTCTTATCTTATTTTGTGTATTTCTCTCCAGTAGTTTGGATTGTGCTTTTTGCTCTTTTTTTTATGGTGAGGAAACCAAAGCAGAGGTCAGATGACTTGTTGATTATTCCACAGCTCTCAGTACTGATCCAGATGTAAGATGATATACTATTTTTATTAGCTAAGACAGGACTAGAATAGGTAACGTTAACTTTTTTCCATTGGTTCTTTGGGAATATACCTACTGTGAACCTAATAGAGTGAATAGGAGAAAGTCATGCATAATAAACTCATGTCTTATTATTCAGGTAGGAAACTTACATTTTGGGTGACAGCAAACTGTCATATTTTCCCTCTGTATTTGCTTGTCTGTAATGAAGTCATATGCTGAAGTGTGCATATATTTGACTATTAGGGTACACTGAAATACATGGTTTTATATTTTAAACATATGCCTTTTTTTTTTAAAAAATATTTATTCATTTATACATACAAGAGCTGGGGTACAGGCCAGAGATGCAGGGGTTGAGAGGATTCACGAGAGACAGAGTGGGGAACAGAACAGGAAGACTGAAATACACTGCTGAGGGGAGTAGCAGGCTAGTCAGGAGAGGTCTGTTGAGCCATGTGGGTTGCTCCGTGGCCAGCTGGGGATCCAACTGGTGCTGCAGAGGCTGTGGATTGCTTCATAGTGTGGTGCTTAACCCTTTGTGCCATTAGGGAGGCCCTACCTTGTTTTCTTATAAAAGTCATGTCGATTTTATTTAAAACAGTTGAACAGCAGAAATGGGAAAATATGAATATACTGAGTGCATCTATATCAGCATTTAGAAAAAAATTATGTCCTTTTCCTAAATGCAATCCTAGAACATATGCAAAGTTAGCCTGCTTTAAAAAAAAGTCAGTATTTGTTATAACATTTTTCTGTTGTTATTATTGAAGGGTAGGCCCTCTCAAGATGTTCAGATAGACCTTTCTAGGAAATATCACTATGGCTTGTGCATTAGTTTGTGCTGGGGTCCGTGGAGGGCCTGCAGGTTCATGAGAACTTTTGCCACTTCCTTAACTACATAGAAGAATGAAAATTGGGGGCCTTAGAATTTCAGTTTTTACCAAAAATAACTATACTATCCCAAAAGCCGTCTTTATGTCAGGGTAAACATCTAATTACAGAGCATCTCTTCTTTTTCACGTGAGTCACCCCCTCCTTGTCATGTGAGTTACCTTTCTCTCCTTGAAGCTCCAGGCTTCTATCCCATTCCTTAGCTCAAGATACATATACACACCCTGGTTTTCCCCACTGATCTTGGAATCTACGACTGTGTAGATTCCCTATATATATGTAATTAAATTTATTTATTTTTCTCTTACTAATCTGATGTTGATACCAAACGCCAGCCTCAGTTTCCCTCTGCCAATAAAAGGAAACAGAGTTTGGGCCTCCCTCGTGGCGCAAGGGGTTAGGCACCGCACTATGCTTGATACCGGGCCAGCCAGTGAGCAACCCACATGGCCTAGCAGAACTCTCCTGACTCACCTGCTGCTCCCCTCAGCAGAGTGTTTCAGTGGATCTGCCAGTTCTATTCCCTACTCTGTCTCTGGTGAATCCTCTCACTCCTGCATCTCTGGCCTGTACCCCAGCTCTTATATGTATAAATAAATAAATCTTTAAAAGAAATTAAAAAAAAAAGGAAACAGTTTGAGGAAAAGGAAAGCGGTTTAATTTGTTGACAAATGAGGAGGGCAGTAGACTCATGTCTGAAAGACAACCGTCCTCTTTGGTTTGAAATAGACTGACAAAATCTTGGTTTGTTTTCAAAGGGTATGTGAAAAATGTAGTTTTAGAATTAAGAAAATATAGCTATACAAGATCTTGAGGATTATTGATTAATTCATTCTTTGTCTAATAGAGTTGAATGCTGTCCATCATAAAATTATTAAGGCTATCTAACAAAAGATACATTTATAAAAATGTAGAGTAATGTTTAAATATATAAATAGCTTTACAAAATATTTGAATACAAGTGTATTTGAACATGTTAATTTCTATTGAAATCAGTTATTTTAGCTTAGGATATGAGTTAAAAAATAAGTAATACTTTGTTTATGATATGTTATAGGAGAAATAAATTCCAATGAGTGTGAAAATATGTCAAGAAATAAGGAAATGTCAGAAGAATATGAAGCTAACACTGTGGAGTTTCTGGTGGATTTGCCATTTGCGACTATAGATTTTAAAGATGAATGTGGAAGTAAGTATTTTATTAAATAAATATGTATTTAAATGTAATGAATATTAAATTTAGTGATATATATAATTTAGTGATATGTAGATAACTTAACCTTAAATACTGTCATGTTTTTAGTTTTGGTTGTTAATAGTTATCTGTTGGTAGTCTGTTGTCACAGCCAGTTTAGGATACGTCTCACAAAATTTTGGGACAGATTATTCTATAGGTTATAAGTTCTTTAAAAAAATATTGGACTGAGGCTTCCCTGGTGGCCCAAGGGGTTAAGATGCAGCCTATGACTCACCCGCTGCTCCCCTCAGCAGTGTACTTCAGTCGATCCACCTGTTCTGTTCCCAGCTCTGTCTCTGGTGAATCCTCTCACCCCCCACCTCCAACCTCTGACCCGTACCCTAGTTCTTGTATGCATAAATAAATAAATCTTTTTTAAAAAAATAAATAAATCTTTAAAAAAAATCTTGGACCAGACAACTATGATTTACAACCTCCTTCTTTTGTTATTCTGGAGGCACTACTAATTTCAGCAGTGGGTGTCATTCATCTAACAAATCTTTCCTGGCCTTTTGATATCAGCCAGAACTTTGTTAGGCAATGGGAACCTCACCAGTGAACAAGACAGACACTATTCCTGTTCTCATGGAGCTTAATAGGCTAGCATTAAAAGCAGTTAAATCTTTAGTTAAGTATCCATATGTTAGATCCATTTAGTCTGTGGGAGCTCCAGCTACATACTATGGAGAACAGGTGTTTACTTCACTGAATACTGCTGGACTGCATAAATGATATAAATTTCATGTCATTGTAAAAACTGTATTGATATTGTTGGTCTCATGCAATATGTTTGGAAGCATTGCGTCTTCCTCACTCTCTTGAAAGAGTTTGAGAAGGGTAGGTATTAGTTCATTTTTGAAGGTTTGATAGAAATCACTAGTGAAACTGTCCGGTTCTGGGCTTTTACTTTTTGGGAGAGTTTTCATGACTGTTTCGGTTTCCTTGCTGGTAATTGATCTCTTCAGGTTTTCTGTTTTTTTTTTTTTTTTTTTTTTTTTTTTTTTCCTGATTCAGTCTTGGAAGGTTATATACTTTTAAGAATTTGTCCATTTCTTTTACTCAATTTATTGGCTTATAGATAGATGTTCGTAGTAGCCTCTTATGATCTTCTGCATTTCTGAGATGTCTATTGTAACTATTATAACTTCTTTTTTGGATCTGATTCTACTTATTAGAGTTTTCTTCCTTTTTTCTGGTCTACTTATGTTTTCAAAGAACAGTATATAGAATATTTTATTTCTGACCAAAGAAATGATTTTGTCTGTTTAAGTTGGGGGCTCAACCCAATTCACAGATGTACATTTTTGCATAGCATTATACCACTTTTTGATAGTTCAGACTTTGTAAGTCTTTGTGGATTAGTCTGGACTCTAAATGACCACATAGAATGTCACTTTTGTGGGAAAATGGATTTCAAATTCCAAACTCCAACTTACATGTAGTATCACAGTGGTATAATGATAGAAACAGAAAGCTTGCGTTTCAAATTTTGGTTTTTATCATCCTCTACTTATGCGACCTTGGATACTAGAACTGTGAACTTCCTCAAATGTAAAACATAGGTAACCCATTCTGCTTACTTCATAGTGTAACTGTACAGATCAAAGGGAGGAAAGTGTGTAAAAAGGCAATTAAAACATACAAAATAGTGCAAAAGTGCTACTTACATAATTTTTAAAAATCTATCCATTCCTTATTTGGGGGTAACTTGTTCTTTCATTTTTATAATAGCATTTACTAAGACACTAAGGAAGCAATAGTAAATTTCTTTGCAAGCCACAGCTACTAATTACTACTAACTAGTTTTTGTCAAGTGAGATTTTTATGGAAATGTACAAAAACTGGGAAATTTGCTGTCAATCCTTAAACCTTAATTGTTAGATAGATAGATAGATTTAGTGATAGCGTTTGTGTAAAAAAACACACAGTAATTGGTTGACGGGTTAAATGGACCTACTATAACTTTCTTTTATTGTTGGTAGCATGGAAATTTTATTGGCTCTGTGGTAGATAACAACCTTAAAATTCTCATGTTGCTGGTTGTTGCCTTTGGCTCTTTCAGTTGCATTTGGTGGATGGACTTTGAGTGTTACCTGCCAAGAAGTTCTTACTGATAGAAACCCTGGCTGAGGGATGAGGAAAGTAGTGTTAATAAGGACAGCGTGGGAGGGGAAGCCTGGCCAGTAAGAAAACTCCTCTTCAGATTTTATTTTTAGTCTTTTGTTTTGAGTTTCTTTCTTTTTTTTTTTTTTTGAGCCTGTTGGTTATCAACTATCTAACCTACAATGTGGGTATTGTTTTGTGCTGTGGAGTCATGCCTGAAATGGGTCTTTACATATTCTTTTTTTTTTAATAGAATTTTTTTTTTTATAGAGGCATGTTTTATTTATTTGTTTGTTTGTTTGTTTGTTTGTTTATACATGCACTGGGTACAGTCAGAAGCGCGGGAGGGTGAGAGAATTCACCAGAGCCAGGGCGGGGAGCAGAGCAGGCAGAAGGACCGAAGTACACTGCTGAGGGGAGCAGCGGGCGGCAGGAGAGGTCTGCCCACCATGTGGGACCCTCTGGTGGCCGTGGGACCCTCTGGTGGTCTGCGCACCATGTGGGACCCTCTGGTGGCTGGGGAGCAGCCGGGAATCAAACCGGCGCGGCAAAGGCCGCGGGCAGCTTCGCAACCCAGCGCTCAACCGCTGCGCCACCGGGGAAGCCCTCTTTACATATTCTTATTCTTTTTTGAGAAGAGACTGTTTTGCTAGAATTATGTTAAAAATATAAAATGTATTAAAATATGTTAGAATTAAATATTAGAGTATATTTTTGGAGAGTAAAGGATATCTGTTTGGAGAATAATGAAATTATTACTTGAACCAGCTATTTCTTAAACCTTAATTAAAAATAATCAATATGCCAAAGGGGCATATTTTGAACCCCATCAAATCAAACAGCACATACAGCTATCTATAAATACTTTATTATTTATCTTTGAAAGATAAGAAGTCCTTTTAAGGAAGCACATCTAAAATATTCTGATACTTCAAAAAATAATGGTAACTCCTTATGACATCATGTATCCAATCAGTAGCCACCTTTCTCTTATTTTTGTCATAATTTTTAAAAAACTGGTTTGAATTAGGCTATATTTGATTGATTTGATTGACTCATCTACGAATTCTTTTAATCTCTTCCTTTATTTTGTGCATGTGTGGGTGGGGAGGGGGTGCTTATATTTTTTGTTGTTGAAGAAATAAGGTTGTGTAGGAGTATCCATGTTCTGGTCATTTAACATATTTTTTTTCCTTCCTATATTTCTAGTGAACTGATTATCTGATTAGGAAGTTTGATGAGGTTTTGGAATATTAGCAAGAAAGCTGCATAATTGTTTTGAATTTCCTGTAGTGTGATGTTAGGAGGCACATAGTGCTTGGTTGTCTTGACTTCTGTATGATGTTAAACTTGATCAGTGGTTTCCCAATTTGCCACGTGATGTGTTTATTAATAAAATTGTCCATGAGCTTTTCTTCTAATGGAGCATCCATTTATACTCTTTAGATTGACCCATTACTTTGTTAAGGTTTTCAAAATGGTGTTATTCTAACTCTATCCTTTGTATTTATTAGCTAGAAATTTCTGGGAAGAAATTTCTTTACCTTAGTTAACTGATTTCTTATATGACTAGTGAGTTTATAAGGAAAAGCAGGATAGATGTTTTATTTTTTTCTTTTTGTCATCAGATTGTTAGAATAATAGTTCTTTAGATTTGCCAAAGTTGAGCTGTGAGTTACTGGTTTTAATTCTTCTTTTAAGCATTATTATGAATGGGTGGAATTAAACACATATGATGTACTTCATACCGTTGAAGTTATTATTTTGTACAATGCTCAAATGGTCATTTCTTGATGAGTGAGAAGACATTCAAGTTGTCTCTAGGTACCTTCTGACATGATTTTGGGAGTCTTTGAATTTCCAGGTTCCTCTCATACATTTTATGTCCCAGACCTAGAATCTGCTATTTTTCCAAGGATTAAGTTCCCAGATAAAGCAATAAAGTGACTTTGAAAATGCTTGTTGGAAGACTGGTCTTTGGGTCAGTGCCCTTTTCCCTATGTAGTGCGGCCTCTAGAGGGCCTGAATAGACATTGAAGGTTAATATCTTTTTTTTTTTTTTTTTTTGTAAATGGGAAATAAAACCAAAGGCATCACTGGGACAATTCAGAAAATAATCACAGTGCAGATGAGAATGCTGCACATGTTTTCTTAGCAATAGAATTCATAAAATTATGACACGCTCACATGTGTAAAGGAAGCTAGTAATAATTTATTTGTCAAATTTTCATATATGTGTTCTCTATCTTCTAGAGATGTCATTTTAAACACATTAATTACTAGGTATGTCATTGAGAGATGTATTAGTGAAATGGGTACATAAACGTGCCTTATAATTTTGCCTTAACTCATAACCATGAAGTCAGACTTGTTATCAGATCCCCTTGCTCTTAATTTATCCTATTTCTAGGTCTCACAAGTATGGTTCAGTCCTAAAAAGAAAGCATGTCTATTCCCACTGTACTATTAAACACACTCTACCATTTCTTTTAGAAATACTCTAAAAGTAGAACTCTACTTTTTTTTTTAGAAATTTCTGTTAAATTCGTGACATTTATTTAAAAATTGTTTGCTATTAATATTTCAGTAGACAACAGAACAAGGACTTCTGCTCTTGTTATTGTGTATAACTACTTTAGCAGAACTGTGATAGAAAAGCAATTTGATCCAGTAGAAAAAGAAGTAGAGTTAAAAAGTATAGATATCAAACTTGACTCTTTAACATTGAGCAGGTTTTAAGAGTTTTTATGCTCTTCTGTTTTATCATATGTAACATCACTTATAAAATATCAATATAGGGCCTCCCTGGTGGCACAAGGGTTTAAGATGCAACCTATGAAGCTGTTCGGAGCCACTGCAGCATGAGTTCGATCCCCGGCCAGGGAGCTACCCAAATGGTGCAGCAGACCTCTCTTGTCTTGCCCACTGCTCCCCTTAGCAGTATATTTCAGTCAATCTGCCTGTTCTGTTTTCCAATCTATTTCTGGTGAATCCTCTCACCACCACCCCAACCTCTGTCCTGTACCCCAGTCTTGTATGCATAAATAAATATTTTTTTAAAAATCAAATAAAAAACAGTCAGATCTGGGTTGAATTTGCATGTAGGCATTGTGCTATTAGTAGTTGAGTCTAGACATTTTCCACCATCCTTCTTAAGGGACTGTGTACAAACGGTCAACACAGTTTATTAGAATTGATGCCAAAGATGAACCTCCTAGGACTGATATAAAATAAGGTGGGTCCTCTCCAAAATCCTACCTAGGAAAATAGAATTGCATTTTTGAAGTACTCTATTTTGTAACAATAAGCTACTGTTCAGGAAGATAGTCTGAAAAATTAATTAATAAGGATTTTGCAGCCTTATGGGGGATCCTCATAGAATCTGTAAAAAAGGATGCAGTGGCATTTTACACATTGATTTGGAAATTATTTCTGTGGGGCATAGCTTCATAATTACAATTGTTGGGTAATGTGAGTGGGTCTTAAAAGATGACTTTAAAAAGCAGATTCTGTTAAGTATTTCTCAGACAACGGCTAAATTTTTTTTCTTTTTTTTTTAAATTTCCTATGTCTTGGGCCTCCCTGGTGGCACAAGGCATTAAGTCTCAGCACTATAAGTCTCAGCACTATGAAGCTATCTGCAGCCACTGCAGCACGAGTTCGATCCCAGGCCAGGGAGCTAACCCACATGGCACAGCAGACCTCTCTTGTCTTGCCCACTGCTCCCCTCAGCAGTGTATTTCAGTCACTCCACCTGTTCTGTTCCTCACTCTGTCTCTGGTGAATCCTCTCTTCCCCACCCTGCACCTCTGGCCTGACCCCAGTTCTTGTATGCATAAATAAATAAAACTCAAAAAAAAATTTTCCTACTTCTTGCTAACTGATATTTTTGTAAAATACAATTAAATTTATTAGACAATTGATATGGAAAAACCCTACAAAATAGAAACTGAAGTTTAACTGATAAAATTACTTTGCCTAATTGCTATGAACATTTCTAAAGAATTCTTTTAATTTTTGCCACACATAGTTTTTAGTGTGACATTGACCACAAACCTTACTTTGAGTGGCACTGTTGCAAGTGGTTATTTTGTGGAAGCCACCAAAATATAGATGCAGGATGGTTTAAAAAAATGCTATTTAGGGGCCTCCCTGGTGGTGCAGCGGTTGAGCGCTGGGTTGCGAAGCTGTCCGCAGCCTCTGCGGCGCCGGTTCGATCCCCGGCTGCTCCCCGGCCACCGCAGGAGGGTCCCACATGGCACACAGACCTCTCCTGCCGCCCACTGCTCCCCTCAGCAGTGTACTTCGGTCCTTCTGCCTGCTCTGCTCCCCGCTCTGGCTCTGGTGAATTCTCTCACCCTCCCGCACTTCTGACTGTAACCAGTGCTTGTGTAAATAAATAAATCTTTAACAGAACAAAACAAAACAAAATGCTATTTAATAGTATGAAAATTGTGGCATGGGACAAGAGAATGGTTGTTTAGCTGTGGTTTAGATCAGAGTTTAGCACAGAATGGCCTAAGGGCCCATCTGACTGTCTACTTTTTTTTTAAGATTTTTTTGTTTTTTAGTTTTTTTATTTATGCATACAAGAACTGGGGTACAGGCCAGATGTGCAGGGGGTGAGAGGATTCACCAGAGACAGAGTTGGGAACAGAACAGGTGGATCTACTGACATACACTGCTGAGGGGAGCAGTCAGTGAGATAGGAGAGGTCTGCTGTGCCATGTGGGTTAGCTCCCTGGCAGGGGGATGGAACTCATGCCACAGTGGCTGGAGATAGCTTCATAGTGCTGAGACTTAACACTTTGCACCACCAGGGAGGCCTTCCACTTTAGAAATATGGTTATACTGGAACAAGGCTACCCTCTTTCATTTTGCCTACAGCAGACTTGGGTGACCAAGTGCGCAGGCTTTGGTGTCAGCGGACCTGCTTAGAATACCAGCTGACTCACAGGCTCCACTGTGTACATAGGTCAGTGTAGGTAGTTGTGACCTGTGACCTCTAAGCCCATGGGATATGCAATGCCTAAAATATTTACCCCGAGATTTTTTAGGAAGAATTTGCTAACTCCTGCTTTAGATTTGAAAATGATAGTTAAGACTGATTGCTATTTAGGTAATGCTTCTTCCTTTTTCTGACTGTATTATCTTTGTTTTGCAATATTGTTGTTTGGTTTCCCCTTCTAGTCACTGATGTACCTCAGATAAATTTGGAGAGAAAAAAAGGAAATGAATGTATCAGTAAAGATCAAGGAGGGAAGAAGAAAAAAAAGGATTATCAACCCAATTATTTCCTATCCATTCCTATCACCAACAAAGAGGTACTATTTTCTTTAAAACAATTTTTACTAGTTTTATTCTCAATAATATTTAACATATGTTAAATGCTTGTAAGCCCAATTTGCACTCAGCTTTTAAGAGTCTTTGGTAGCATTTTAGCTGAACCATATAGGGAGTAGTCCTACTTAACAGAATATATTGAAACAATAATTTTGAAAACTATTTAAACAGTCATATTTAAACAGTAATTTAAAAAAATCCATTTGAAAAAGTATTGCCAGATGGCATGTCAAGGTTCTGTCTAAGAGTTTGTTCCCTGTAGGAGGATGCTTGCCGAAGTAGAGAGCAGTGCCCAGCTAGATAAAGAAGATTCTGAAGTTGACTGGGAAAGTAAACAGATCTTTTGCTGCTTAGTCCTGTTTATGGTAATGATTATTGCAGCATAGTTTCTTTAAAAATTACTCATTGTTGTACCAACTTAATATTACATAATAAATTTGCTAGAAATCTATTAAAACTCTGAAAAATGTGCTATGAATAATATTAAGTGGGACCAGTTAACTATCTAAGAGAGAAAAACTACAGTATCTAATTAAAACTGCTGGAGCAGGGAAGCGGTATGAAGATGACTTAGGAGAGAACGCTTCACTTGAAAATTGTCTGTTTTCACATCTTGGCCCAAGTTTAAGAGTCAGATCTGCATTTCTGCTTAATTGTGGATTCTAATCTTTTTTATTATGTACATATTCAATTTGCTTCTTCCCTGATTTAACTAGTATATTTCTAGAGAATGCTAATGAATTAAAAATCAAATTAAACAAAATTGAATTTAAAGAACTAACATCAAAGAAAAAATTCTGTTAGAGCATTTTAGAAAATATCTGTGAGATACAATTTAGCTGGGGAAAGAAGATACATAAAAAGAAGTTGAATTAATTAGCAATAAAAGATTTTAGAATTTGATGTATAAAGAATCATATTCTTATTTTACTGGTATATACTGGTAGCATCAATAATAAAATAGTCCTTGAAAGTGGTTAGGTGATACAAAGTTTAATATAATCAGCTATTACATATTATATTAAAATGCTTACAAGTTATTTGGAAGATTTTCTTTTAAATTTAGGATCATTTGTGATCATGGACATTAGAAGGGAGCAGGAAGTCCTAGGTGGTGCCACTTAACTGAGCATTCAAACACAAGGCAGGTCCTAAGTTAGAAACTGAGTCAAACAGAAGCAGCTTCTCTAAGGATATGTGATTTGTGATTAGAAGAGAATCCAGGTTGATATTGATTTGTTGCTTAGCGATTGTTTTACTAGAGTCTTTTGGTCTGGATGTGTAGTAAGCACATTGTAAGTTGCTTTAATTAGACCCTTCATTTTATATTTCTCTCTTTACACCTCAGTTCTTGGCTCCCATAATAGTCTCAGCAACAGCTCTTTATACCTGCCCCCCACAGCGCCTCCTAGCCTTGTTCCCCTTCTCACCTCTCCCAGTGAAGGTTGGTGAGATGGTGTGCTGGGTCTGGCAGGTGCAAAAGGAGATTGGGAGGATAGAGGGCAGAGAAAGTCTTTCTGTTTAGTTCACAGTTTTGGGCCACACAGATGATGAGAGGGACACAAGAGAGAAATGTGTGTAACTCTTAATTCTCACCCTGAAAATTGCCTGCTTCTCAACTTTTTGAAGGTTGTATAGAAAGTGGGAAATATACAGGCTTTGGAGTTCAACAGACCTTGCTAGAATGAATACCAGCCGGGTCACGGGCCCCACTGTGCATGGAGGTCAGTTTACGTGATTTCTGTAGTTTCAGCTTCTTCAGGTGTGAAATGGGGATGATAATGATTATTTTCTAAACCCAATCCTGGACACATCCTTGCCTCCTTAGAGGATTCATGTTTTGCATTGACATTAGGAAAGTTAAATACAAAGTATTTACCATATTCTGTAGCATGCTGCATGGTCTGACTTTCTCTACTTCATCCCTGTTTCTTCTACTTGGGTCTCTTTGGCCATGTTTTACTTGCCTGGTACCCTGTGCCCCAGGCAAAGCCATTCCTGGAGTTTTCTTTCTTCTTCTCCAGGTTATGGTATGTTAATCCCAAAATGTGAGCTCAAATCTCTCCACCCTTGACAACCTTAAAGATATACCCCCCATCCCCCTTGCACCCCAAACACTTTCATACCTTTTCTTTTGTCATTTATCATTCTTGCATTTTGATGTTTGCTGGTCTTCCTTACAAAGCTTTTCACTTCATTTCTAGTACCTGGATTAGTGCTTGGCCAAGAACGCACACACATGCACACACACACACACTCACACACACTCACTCACCCCCATCATTCCATCATTTCAAAGAAAAATGTGTTTCTGGTATACCACATTACAACCGGAACATTTACAACTATTTGGTTTTATAATTCAACTTCAACAACAGTCGTTTGTTGTCAAGGAGGAAGAGTGATATGTAGTAGTGGGAAATGAGGTTTCATGTGACCACAAAACCAAATCATTTAATGTTTTTCTCTCAAAAGACTTATTTGTAGCTTATATACAAATATGGGGAGGAGGGATTTGAATGTGACAAAATTAGGAGATACTTTTTATATTTTTCCAATGAGCATCTTTTTTGTTTGTTTGTTTTAAAGTATCTAATGTTAATTTTCTTTTTAAACTACTTATGAACTTCTGTGGGAAGGCCTGGGAAAAGAAGCAGCATTTATAACATTGTTTCAATGGGAGACTGTATTCCAAGTTCCAATTAAGTGACTTGCAAACAAGCTTTTGGAAGCAAGCACTTTCACACTGAGTTGCTCTACTTTTGGCTTTTACTTGTTGGCATCTAGTTTTAAAGCAAAAAGTTTTCAGACTACATGGGTCTTTGATTTTAAAAACATTCTTAGATGTTTGGAATCCTTTATTAATGGAAAATCATGATTTCATGCTTTTAAGAAACAGAATTGGAAAATGAATTAGAATATTTGCATAAACTATTCTAATTGCAAGTATATGACTGTTTATTTCCTGTAATTACATACTAGCTTAAAAAAAAAAGATAAAACTTAGTGATTAGTAATCCCCAAATGTTTCTTACATGGCTTGAATTGTTTAATTATTAGTTCTAGTTGGATTTTAACCATGTTTGTTCCCTATGCTTTTGTATGATATGCAATGAGATAAATCAACATTGGGAAAATATAAGGGGATAATCAAAAACTGATTAAGATTAGGAGTGTATTATTTTTGTGAAGATAATTTTTAATTCTAATAAAAATATTATTTTCTTTAGGAATTTCAAAAGATGTTACATTTAGTTCTGTATTTCATTCTTTCATAATGTGAAAATTGCTGGTCTTGTAAAAGTGTGAAAGTAGATCTGTGTATTCAATTCCCCTCTGGGAAATGTAATTATAAAATTATTTGAGATCATCCTGTGTATGTTAAGCACTTGGTACATATGGAAAATTCTCCTTCTATTTGAGGATGATTTTTTTTCTACTTTTACTTCAGTTATTACTATATTATAAAAATTCAAGTTCTTTTCATGGCTGTAAATGAGGTTGAAAAGTGAGGTTATTCAGCTGTGAAGAAATCTTAGGTGGCAAAATAATGTGATAATTCTAAAAAATCTTAATGAGGCAGTAAATTTGGGAACAGTATTAGAGTAATAGCTTAGAAAAATTCTAAAAACATTGTTGAAAGATGCTCTCAAAGGCATTCTTCTACCGTGTGCTAGAATGTAGGTCCTGTCCCTCTTGTAGAAACACACTTACTTTAAGGCATTTTCTTTGAACCAAATATGCTTTGAGTCAATTAGAAAGCTTAAAGTAAAGTGAATTTTCTTATTGCATCATTTTTAAACATGTGGCATATAACTTAGTGGTGAGGTTTAGCAGATGGATGTCTGTTTTTATTCTCTTAACACAAAGAAATTACTCATAGGATGGAATACTTAATATTTTTATTTTTAGAAGTTTCTTTCAATGTCATGTTTAAATATGACTCAATAGTATTAGGTTTTCAAAATGTGCATTGTGCAGTACTGCCAAAGGCTGGGGATTATGGTGACAGATAAGCTTTAATGGCTTTATAGAATTTTTAATAGTAGCTATAAAAATTAGTTTCCTTTGGCCTTTAATGACATTACTTCTCCTTTTTTAAATTGGCATACAGAGAAGGCTGAAGTATTTTTCTTTTTATCTTTTGAGAATGTAATTAGGAATAAAAAGCATTTAAAAAATTTTAAGATGATATCAAGGAATATATAAATTAAACTATTCCATCAAAGCATAGTTAGAAACATATTACTTGATTAGATTAACTAGAATTTTCATAGATTTGAGTTTAATACTCCATTATAAGTACAGTGTGACTTCAGGGAAATAGTCTTCAAAGCATTTTATTATTTTTAATTTGCACTTTTATGAGTTATTGGAAAATTCAAAGATATGAATGGCCTAAAATGATTATATTTTTACCACTTAGGACACTGTACTTAAAAGTCTGAGCATAAATGGGTGAAATTTTTTGAGCATTGTCCTAAATTTATATATAATTAATATTTGAGCTTGACTACTTTTTTATGAAAATGCAAAAACTTGACCCTCTAGATAGAAGTAGGGTTACTGGGTAGGATGAGGGGCACCACAGGAACCCTAAACTTGCCTGTTCTAAATAGGTTCTGCCATCTGCTGCATCAAGATAGAAAAAACTCTTGTGTGTAAGATCTTTAATGGAAAGGAACTTTTAATACAATTAGTGTGCAGTATAGATATTGCACAAGTCTTATAATAGATAAAATAGTTTTCACATTAAACACCCAAAGTTACCCATCCCTTCATGGGAAAATACCCAGCCAAACAGGGTTGTCGCAAAGCAGGGCTACTGAGGCCCAAAATCCTGCCACAGGTCTAAGGCACCTTCTGGTGGGGACCCACAGAAAGGGGCAGATGAGGCCAGGCAAGTCTGGAAGGAAAAGAACAAAATCAAAATCAAGATAAAAGCTGCCATTGTTAACCTCCGCAGGGGTCTCTCATGCACATCTGTTTTACGTGTTTCATTCCATGTTTTCCCAAGTCTCTGGTATCAGTCCAAGACCAAGAAGCAAATGCAGCCTTTTCACTTGTCTTTCTGTTCCATGTGTCTCCTGAGGTCTTCTTCCTTCTTTCCTTCTCCCTTCCTATAAAAGCAACAGAGTTCACAAAGCACTTTCATGTCACTTGGCTACTCTGATCTTTAACGCAACCCTGTTAAGTTTGGATATGCAGGTTTTACTACTTCTGTTTTACACAGTGGAAAAAAACACGACTCAGGGCGACAAGGTGATTTGTGTGGAATCATAACTGTGGCAGAACTTGTGTTAAAATTGAAGATTTCGGAGGTAAACCCAAAACCTTTAATTTGCATCACTCTGTAGTTTGTAACAAAACTATCATCCTAAGCCACTTTTTCATTATAATTTATACCAGAATTACCATTTGTACCAGGTAATATTTGAAGATGTAACTATATTGTTTTGAGGACTGACATTTTTGAGCACTTATTTACTTGACACTGGCTAGGCACTTTCCTTATGATCTGGGACCCTCTGAGCTGTTATTCCCAAAAGCCCATCTGAGTACTTCATTGCATCTGGAAAAAACCCTCTCAAAAATTCAATTTTAAAGTGGTTGCTGAGTAATATAGATCCACACAGAAGGCTTTCTCGAGAGGGCTAGTGTGTTCTACTAGAAGGTTATCCTGTAAGACTTCCTAGAACTCTCCTTTAAATGTCTTTTTTTCCTTGGAGGTTTCATTTCTTGAGTTACTAACCATCTCTGCCCTTCTCCTTCTCTCCTCTTAACAGAGTCCTTGTAGCTCTTAGTGTTGCTTTGTAACTGCTTCTCCTCCTCACTCCTACTGGATCTTTTCTGGTTGCCTCCCTCATCTTTTTTAATGTATTGCAACTTATCCTTTCTCAATGGTCCTTTGCTATTTTGGATATTTGCTCTTGAAGGGATTTTTAAAATCATCTGTTTTAATTTATTTTGATAGCGATAATACCAATTCTTACCTCATAGGACTGTTGAGAGGTTTCAGTGAGCTAATATATATAAAATGCTTGCTATAGTGCCTGCAACTTCATGACTACACCATAAAGTTTATTTACTGCTGTTGGCTATTGCTTAAATATTGTTTTTGTTATTTTTTAAAAAGATTTATTTATTTATTCATATAAGAGCTGGGGTGTAGGCCAGAGGTTTGAGGGGTGGATGAGAGGATTCACCAGAGACAGTGGGGAGCAGATGATGAGGGGAGCATTGGGTGAGACAGGAGAGGTCTGCTGCACGTGTGGGTTAGCTCCTTGGCCAGGGATCTAACTCATGTTGCAGATAGCTTCAGAGTGTTGAGCCTTAATCCCTTGCGCCACCAGGGAGGCCCTGTTTTTGTTATTATTACCAGGCATAGTGGTGAAACAGCAGGGTTGAAGAAATAGACATTTCCTCTGAGGAGTTTACGATTTAGTCTTATTAACAGAGGAAACTGACTCCAAGATCTTTTTTGTACTGTTATGTTAGGAGCATTTTATTTATCAGGTAATCAATATTGTTGGGCTTCATCGATGTGACATCTTGCCTTGGGAAATAATTATGTTAGGTACTATTGCATAACTTCCAATCAGGAAAACACTGTTTCCTGTGTGACTCTCTTCCAGACTGCAAGGAATTGGGAAGTACTGAGGTTAATTTGTGATGTGCATTTATTGTAAAAAATACGTGGGAAGTCAGATCCCAGGACAGCATCTCGTGATGTGTCCCATCACATTCCGCAGATAATGGGAACATTGTTGAGGATAAAACAGCCACTCTAGTATCAGAACAGTCTGCTGTGCTCATGATTCAGTTTTTTTCTTATCTCTGCTGTTTTTTGATGAACCCTGCTTCTGTTACCAACCCCTTTTTTTCTTTCTCTTTTAATGCCTCGGGTATTTTTATTCCTTCAAGGCTCCTGAGTGCTCTCTTTTGTCTGAGTATTTCTCAGTTTGCTATTTCATAGTCAAACTATTTTCTAGTATATTCACATTTAGAGGTTGAAGAGGATTGAATCTAATTGGAAATAGAGGCAGGAAGAGGCATCATTCCTCTTCTTGTTTCAGAGGAGTAGGTACTGAGAAGGCTGATGAGGGACCAGTAGATTCTCCTGGACGCAGACTGTAATGACTTTTCTAATATATGCATTTAGAATTCTTTGCAACTCCTCAGTTATGCCCCTGCTCACATGTCTGGAAAAATAACAGTAGTCATTCCTTTTGAAATAATTGCTGTCCTAAAAAATCTTAAAGGCCAAGAAGAATGGGTTCTCAGACACATTCACTTGGGGACAAATAAATATTACTTCCAACAGAAATGGAATGTTGTCTGCTGGTTTGACCTTTCTGTGGCAAGAATAAAACTTTTTTTAGGAAAGATCATAAGTCATACTGTATATTCAAGGACAAGTTGCTGAAAGATGCATAGCTATTCAGAATTTTTCTATTCAACTAGTGACCCAGTCTGTTAAATAAGGTTGTTGGGCTTGATGATCTTAAGGTGGACAAGCATTGTGTGATTTTTGTGTTAAACTTATACATCTTAGTAAGTTTTCCAAGTTATCTATCCAGGATATTTGAATTCAAGTAGACAATTCAACAATGTTTGGTTGAGAATGTCAAGAATCTTGACATTGGTTTTTTGGTTGTTGATTATTTTTCTTCATGATTTGCATTTAATTATAAAGAAATTTGCTTATCTACTCTCTATTTTGTGTATACCTAGATTACAAAAGGAATTAAGATTCTGCAAAATGAAATAATAAAACAAGACAAGCGACTGGCCCAAACAATGACCAGAGATGGATCCTTTCATATTACCCTGCTAGTGATGCAGTTACTAAATGAAGATGAAGTAAACATGTGAGTAGTATTATTTTCCAAATTAATAATTTATATTTTTTAAAAGATTTATTTTATTTATTTATGCATACAAGAGATGGGGTATAGGCCAGAGGTGCTGGGTGTGTGTGTGTGTGTGTGTAAGAGAGAGAGAGAGAGAGAGAGAGAGAGAGGATTCACAGAGACAGAGTAGGGAGCAGAACAGGTGAATTGACTGAAATACACTGCTGAGGGGAGCAGTGGGTGAGACAGGAGAGGTCTGCTGCACCATGTGGGTAGCTCGCTGGCCAGGGATCCAGTTTGTGCTGCAGTGGCTGCTGATAGCTTCATAGTGCTGAGACTCAACCCCTTGTGCCATCAGGGAGGCCCCCGAAATTAATATTTTAAATGAGTAAGCATGAATATACAGGTTCAATGCTATTCCAATAAAAATCTCAATGACATTCTTCAAAGAAATAGAACAAATACTGATGAAATTCATACGGAACCACAAAAAAACCATGAATAGCCAAAGCCCTACTGATGAAAACAAAAGAGAAAGAAGGTATCACACTTCCAAACTTCAAGCTATACTATAAAGCCATAATAATTAAGACAGTTTGGTACTGGAACAAAAACAGACACACAGACCAATGGAACCAAATAGAGAGCCCAGAAATAAAGCCATGCTTATATGGGCAACTAATCTCTTTTTTTTTAAAGATTTATTTATTTATACAAGCACTGGGGTACAAGCCAGAGGCGTGGGAGGGTGACAGGATTCACCAGAAACAGAGCAGGGAACAGAACAGGCAGATGACCAAAATATACTGCTGAGGGGAGCAGTGGGCGTCACAGGAGAGGTCTGCTGCACCATGTGGGAATCTCCCTGGCTGGCCAGGAATCGAACTGGCACTGTAGAGGCTGTGAACAGCTTCACAGCGCTGTGCTCAACCCACTCTGCCACTGGGGAGGCCCTGGACAACTAATCTTTGACAAAGGAGCAAAGAATATGCAATGGAACATGGACAGTTTGTTTAATAAATGGCGCTGGGAAAACTGTACCACCACATGCAAAAAAATGAAAGTAGACCACTACCTCTCACCATGCACAAAAATCAGCTCAAAAATGGATAAAAGACCTGGACATAAGACCTGAAACCATAAAATATATAGAAGAAAATATAGGTAAAGCACTACAAAATGTACATCTCAGTAACATCTTTAAAGACTCATCACCAAAACAAAGAAAGTCAAGGAAAAGATAAACACCCGGGATTACATCAAACTGAAAAGCTTCTGTACAGCGAAAGAGACATTAACCAAAACAGACACCCCACTGATTGGGAAAAAAATCTTTGCACTTTTCCATACAACTGATAATGGACTGATCACAAAGATATATGAAGAACTCATATGACTTAACAAAAACAAAATAATCCAGCCAAGAAGTGGGCAGAAGAACTTAAAAGACATTTCTCCAAAAAGGAAATGCAAATGGCCATCAGGCATATGAAAAAATGTTCAACATCCCTTATCATCAGGGAAATGCAAATTAAAACCACATTGAGATGCCACCTTACACCAGTAAAAATGGCACATATCAAAAAAAACAAGCAACAACAAATGTTGGTGAGGATGTGGTGAAAAAGGAACTCTCCTACATTGCTGTTTGGAGTGCAAACTGGTCCACCCACTATGGAAAGCTGTCTGGAGGTTCCTCAGTCTACTGAAAATGGAACTACCGTATGACCTGGCAATTCCATTACGAGGGATCTACCCAAAGGACACAAAAACATTGATTCAAAAGAACACCTGTACACCTATGTTTACTGCAGCACTATTTACAATAGCTAAAACCTAGAAACAACCCAAATGTCCAAAAATAGATGACTGGATCAAGAAGATGTGGCATATATACACAATGGAATATTATTCAGCAGTCAAAAAAGATAACCTCATGCCATTCACAGCAACGTGGATGGAGCTAGAAGGAATTATGCTCAGTGAAATAAGGCAGAAGGAAAAAGAAAAATATCGGATGGTTTCACTTATAGCAGGAATATAGGGGAACCAAATAAGACATCAGTGTAAAAAAAATAATAACAGTACAAAGTACAGCAAAGCAAAAACAGACAATTATAAACCAGAGACCTACTGCAGGGGAGGAGGAGGGAGAGGGATCAGAGGGAGGGAGGGAGGAGCACAGGGGACTGAGGTGATGGTGCACGGGTGCATTGGTGAAGGAAACTCTATGGGGACTACACCTGAGGGGGTTGGGGGAAGAAAATATTGTTCAAAAATGAAGAATGGTGTAAAAAATTACAAAAAATTAATAATAAAAAAGTAAAAAAATGAATAAGCATAGCTGAACCTGAAGAAACATTGACATTTTAAAGTTTTCTTTGTTATAATTTATGCTAATTAATAGTGTAAAGAATTAGCCATATAAATGTTCTTTTTAATGTAGAAAAGACATCTTTATTCTGTTTTTGTTATCCAGTGGAAGCCCTTTGTTGTACATTGGTTTTGCTCATGTTAATTATGTAAGCACACTGGAATCTGACCATTTACATTAAAATTCTTGGTAAAGATTCTCAAACCATGGCACCACTGTCTCTTATTAGCTGCCTGAATTTGGGCAAGTCTTTTTTTTTTTTTTTTTTGATAGTTTATGTAGTTTTTTTCTTAAGATTTATGCATACAAGAGCTGGGGTACAGGCCAGAGGTGCAGGGGGGGGGGGGTGAGGGGATTAACCAGAGACAGAGCAGGGAGCAGAATAGGCAGGCTGACCAAAATATACTGCTGAGGGGAGCAGCGGGTAAGACAGGAGAGGTCTGCCATGCTATGTGGGTTGCTCCCTGGCCAGCCAGGGATCAAACTCGTGCTGCAGAGGCTGCGGATTGCTTCATAGTGCGGTGCTTAACCCCTTGTGCCATCAGGGAGGCCCTGGGCAAATCTTTTACTTTTTAAGTAAGTGTAGAAAAAAATAGTATTGATTCATATAAGAGTTTTCAATGTAGGACCTGACACATAGTAGGTGCTTCTTATTATAGAGCTGCCATTCTACTAGGCCAGTGGACAATTTCAGTTACTCATTAGTTATTCTTAGAAAGGCAGAGAGGGAGAGAGAGAAAAAGAGAGGTGGGTGGAATGGGGACAGGAGGGGAAAATGAGCACAAGTGCGTGAGAGCAGAGGGAGAAGTTAGACTGGAGGTTAGGAAACCGGAGTAGACAGCAGGAGTCAGGGTTCTGCTGTGCACGGGACCATTGTGAAGTAGGAAGTGTTATCTTGTCCTGAATAGCAGTATCACTTATTGAGGAGTTATTGTACAGAGCAGTGTCACTCTAAACCATTCAGCTGTGTTTTACATGTCTGTTTGCAAATACCTTTCAGCTTTATGTAAAAAACAAAATGCTAAGCAAGTTGCTTTGTGATTGAAGAGTTCAAGTGGCGTTCTTATGGTGACCTTGGGAATGGTTTCTTTGAAAAATGTTAGATATATGCAATTTAGTGATCACTCTTGACTGAGTTACTAATGAAACATCGATGAAATAAAGTTTGTTATACTGACAAGATAACACCTTGCAATTCAACCAACATGAATTGTCAACCATGTATCACTTAGATACCAAGCTAAGTGATTTAGGGAAGTTAAAGATGAATCAGGAATGGATTTGTGCTCTTGGATTATACATTTTAGTTGACTAGATACCTTAATGACCTAAATAACTATAGTAGAACCAGAAAAGGGTTTGCTATACTAGTTTCAACTGCCAAATGATGGTGAAAATTTAAGCTGTGGCCCATTTGGGCAGCTATGTAGTGAGAATGAAACTGATTGGGTTTTATGGTAAGATTATTTATATGAGTGTAATCTTTTAGTTTTATTTTTCACTCTATACTATATAATATTCTAGGCAGCCGGATTGTCACTTTCTTTTTCTATAATATATTCTTTGTTTTCAAGGTTAGTGTCATATTTTACATGTGTGAGTATTGACCAATGGGTTGGATAAGGAGTGTGTAGAGACATTTTTTTAAAATCATGGATTTCTTCAGGCAGATATTGCCTAATGTCTTCTGTATCCTTACAGTTTGGAAGAAACGATCAGACATATATTAAGCCAAGCCTACCTGCAGATTTTATAATACAGCTGTCCTGACTTAATTTGATATGGAACTTTTGGGTCTGAACACCAGTTTCAGAATTTCATTTCTCACCTGCATATCCTTTTTATTCACTTTACAACAAAACAACCTTTCCATAAACTACTCTCTAAAACATTTTTGTTTAAAAGAGTTTGAAAGTTAATGTTACTTACCAACAGATACTATGCTTCCACACTAGTGACATCTTGGTAGGACTAATTTATTGATTTATGCTACTAGAGAACTGAAAACTGGACTGAGTTTAGATCATCTATATTATTTTAAAGGAACATGGGGTATAGAATTTCCTGTATCTGAAAAGTCCTGACCTTTAGTATGACCTACTTTAGTTTCATTTAAAATGAGTATCTTGAATTTCTCCAATTTATGACAGATGAGTCAGAGTGACTGTTCTATTTTCACATGCTTTCACTCATAGCATACCGGTGAAGGACAGTATTTCAGAGCGTATACTGTGTCTTTTTGGATAAGCATAGAAACAGTTGCTTGGATTTAGGATATGGAGTGGAGGTACTGTGAGAAATGTTGATATTTTGGAAGCTATTTTGAAGTGTTGTACAATATGTTATGAGAGAAATGAGATTCTGTGTGGAAGTAAGTCATAGATGAAAATCAGTTAAAAGTCTGTCTGTATATTCTCAGGCCATCTGCAAACAGTGATGGCTTTACGTTCCAATTTGGATCCCTTTTATACCTTTCTCTTACCTAGTTACTCTAGTTAGGACTTCCACTACTATGCTGAATAGTAGTGGTGAAAGTAAATTGAAGGGGATTATGCTAAATAAGTCAGAAGGAGAAGGACAAATACTGGATTGTTTCACTCTTGTGGAATATAAAGAAAACAAAAGGACTGACAAAACTAAACCAAAACAAACCCTAGAGATCTGACTATAGTACTGAAGCTACTAGAAGGGGAAGGTGAGGACTAGGGGACAAACGGAGGGAGAGGACTCAGTGGATTACAGTGGAGGATTATGGAGTCTTCCATGGTTGGTTGTGGTATGATGACATAATCTGAGGAGGTGTGACTCTATACCTCTACATTTTACAGTGTTGGAAACCAACATTAATGCAATAAAAAATAATGCAATTTAAATGGGAAAAGAAAAAGAAAATCAAAAACTCTATAGAAAGAGTGACTTAGAAATATGAATGGTATAGAAAAATTCCTTAATATTTTCACAATTTAACATGTAAATTACTGGGGAACAAGTCACTGATTAAGATAATTTAAATTCATGGTAGCTCAGCAGACCAGTGCTTTACTGGACTTCCCATAATATAAAAATGTACTTACTTCTTTTTTGAGTAATTGCTGCCCTCTAGTGAAATTTTATTTTTTTGTCATAAGGTACGTGCACTAGAATTTTCTTCAAGATGGAAGTTCTCTTCAAGATGATCTTAATTTTTAAAATATGCCAAATTTGATGTCTAATTTATTAATATAGTAAATATTTATTTTTATAAAGAAAAATGAAGCATTTGAAATACATGCAGCCCTGTAGTCACATAGACAAAACAAATATAAGAAACTAAGCTATAGTTGGACAAAATAAAACTTTATTTTATATGAATCCAGGTATGGTAAATTATCTTATTATGGAGACATATTTTAAGAGATAATGCATATTAAGTTCTAGTAGAATGCCTTGTAAATAGTAATGCTGTATAAGTACCTTTAATGAGAATTTAGAATGTTCTGCATAACCTAAGCTCTTATAGGTACCAGGATTTTGGAACATATTATTGGTATATATATATTTTTCTTTGGCGTACTCTATGCAGCAGTTCCTTGGTTAAAAACTTTCTGGTGAACTATTAAAAAGTATTTTCCTTCATGTCTTCAATGTGATATAATTAGGTAGATATTTAAAAATTTTTAAATTTATTTTTTATTGACATAGCATTGTATTATTGTATTATTACATTATATAACTTTTCTGAATGCATTATAAATCCATGTCTATATTTACTACATTAAGTTTACTAAAAAATCCAGTTCTAGCCTTCATAAGTAAAAATTTAATTAACTTCCATATTATTCGTTTAAAAATTAATATCAGGGCCTCTCTAGTGGTGTAGAGGTTAAGTCTCAGCCTTATGCTATCACAGCTGCGGCCTGAGTTCTATTCCTGGCCAGGGAGGTGACCCACATATGGCTTAGACCTCTCCTGTCTCTCCCTCTGCTCCCCTCAGCAGTGTGTTTCAGTAGATCTGCCTGTTATACTTCCCATTCTGTCTCTCGCCCCTTGCATCTCTGGCCTACACCCCAGTTCTTCTATGCATAAATAAATACATCTTTATAAAAAATATTATTAGTTCTATTTTAGTTGTACAGATTAGATTTCTAAGGTATTTAAGCCTTAAAATGGTTAGCACAAATGTCAACTGAATTATCTTTCTAAAACTGATTACTTTGTTTCTTGTTCATTTTTGTATATTTATTACTTAATATGTTATTGGAAAATATATTCTCTCTTAACAGTGGTATTGATGCTCTTTTGGAATTAAAACCATTCATAGAAGAAATCCTCCAAGGAAAGCATTTGTCTTTGCCCTTTCAAGGAGTTGACACTTTTAATAGTCAGGTTGGATTTGTGAAGCTGGCAGAAGGAGATCACATAAACCTCCTTTTGGAAATGGCAGGTAAAACAAACAGCAGTATTCTATGTTAAATCTCATCTGTTTTTTCCTAATTCTTGTAACAGGGATTTGACATTTAAAAATATTTTACAGCCAATATAACCTCACTTTATAAATGAGCTGCTTCACTGTTTGCCTGTGAAATAATGAGCCAAATAAAATGGCCTGAAAATTTACCTTGATTCTTAGAGTTGAGTAATATGTTGATTCTGGGGCTGTCTGGAAAGTGATGGACTAGACTGAAGTATTTGTTAGGATTGTTCTGTTCATAAGTTTGAGGGTTCCCAGTAGTTATCATGAGATTTGACAGAGTTGGCATTTAGTAAGTATTGAAAGCATGTATAAGAACCAGTAGTTGCCTATTTAAGACTTGTGAGAATTGTCAGTAGATGAATCAGCAACATTTTCCTCTGTGCCACTTTTTGTTTTCCTTCATGTTTAAGTAGTACTGTCTGAGCAGAAGGTCCATTCGTGATGGTGAAAGATTGCACGTTTATTGGAGAACATGTTGCTTTGTACAGTACAATTGAAACTGTTAGGAAAATAGATGCAGAAAGCTGGATGAGTGACTTTTGAGTTTGGTCCAGAGATCATAGGTTGGGTATTAACCTGCATACTGTAAACATTTTTTATTTTCATTTCTTTTCATATCATGTCATGTCATCTCATTTCCATTTCAAGGATCCTCGGTAGAATCCTTGGTTCATAACATACAATTCATCATTTGTTCATGTTTGGTCCATCTTTGTCTGTCTGTCTTATTAATCTATCAATTAATCAATCATCTATCGATAATATAACAATCACCTGGGTATCTACCACCAAAAATGAAAACTAAGACTGTGGCAATAATCTAATCATATTGTCCTTTCATTAATTCATCCCTTGCCTTCCTTAATATGAACTAACCATCCTCTTGTAGTCATCATTATTTTCTTGTATATCCCAACGTATATGTATTTTCAGTTGGTTTTAACTTTATAAAAGAGTATCATATCATATGATAATTTTTCATACATTTTTCACTTACTACTCTTTTGTCTTTATTTTGCAGTTTTATAGTTGCTCATTTAAAAGTGTACCTATTTTTTGGGGGTGGGAAGACATGAGGATCAAGTTTTTCTTTAGCAGAATGAAGTATGTATAAGCAAACAAAATTGCAAGCAAATACACAAGAATCAAGTTGGACTTAAAGTCATTAGTTGGTCAAGGAGAAAACAGCTCTAATAGTTTGATGGCAAATCATTTGGGAGCTGATATCCACAGGTACTAGACTTAATCTGTTCTTCCTGACTGCAAAAAAAAAAAAAAAAAAAAGCTAGATTTAGATCTTTTCTTTTGAAACATAAATATCCCTAGCTCAAGAAATATTTCTAATTAGTCATTCATTCATTGTTCTTTTAAATATTTCAATGGGTACTTGCAGTAGAGAATTCCATCCATTCATAGCAAATATTCTCACAAAGACATTTTCCAATATTGATGAAAGATCCATTGTGTGCTGAGGAATGTGAAACCTCACCAGTGTTAATATAACTGTGAACCCAAGGATGATGATTTGTCATTTTAGAAAAGGCCATGGCCCTTGTAATTCCTTTCTTGATGCCAGAGACTTTTGCTTAAAAATATATATACTTTTTCCAAAAATTTAAACAAAAGCATCACAAAAATGGAAAATAGAGAGCACAGCACTCTATTTCCTTGCATAATCACTATTATACTCATTTTAATCCTTTGTGTGTGTATTATACACACAATTTTAGTTTTTATGTACTTTTATAAGAAATCTAAATAATATTCAGTATATATATGGAAATTTTTCATTGAAGTATAGTTAGAGCCCTTACTTATATTATGTTCAGATGGTCAGATTGTTCAATACATGGAGTATTATCAATATTTCACTTTATTAGATTAGTTTTTACAAGGATGCCCAAGATTAGTATTGCTTTAGTCTATCCGTATCAGTAAAATAATTTATTATGTTTTTGTGTCATTTTATAGACTATTTAAATAATATGTTCTAACTTTCAGAAGAATACCTTCCAGGAATCCAGCATTTCTTTTCTCTTCTTGAAAGGAGCTGAATTAAACAATCATTTTTCTTTAGCTTTTTGACAAACAAATTGGAAGCAATTTATAGTGTTCCAATTCATTTAAATAAGATAGTACTAGCTAGCTAAATGTTCATATTTCCTCCTGCAAGAGATAATTCATGCAAACACATTTTAGAGCTTAGCAATTCATATAAAATTTCTTTTTTTCATGTCGCGTGTCCTGCCTACCACCATCCTTTATGTTCCCTTGTGACTTTCCCTCCTCCCTCTCTCTAACTTGTAGCCCTCAGAATGATGGTTGATGTCCACTAGTTTTTGAAAGTGTTTTAAATTGTTGAATTTTTCTCTTATATGAATGTCCAATATTTGTTTTTACTGTTCTGACTTACTTTGCTCCAGGTAATTCTTTCAAAGTCCCCACAGTTTGTTGAAAATGGCTGCAGTTCATCCTTTGTTGTGCTATATAATACTTGGTGGTGTGTATGGACACATCTTGACCACTACATTTATTAAAAGAACTGTATTTCTTAAGACTTTGTAATAAGCCATGTATATGAATATGCATATACATACAATTAAAACTTTGTTAAAAATAATGAACACAGAACCTGTTTGACATAGTGGAAAGCAGGAGAATTTTTAAAGGCAATAAATGGCATTTATAAAGAAGTAAAGTTTAAATATTATGAAATAAAAGTAACTAGAAAAATAGTTGAAAATTATAATTCCGGCATTGTCTGATTTGTTTTAGTTTATATCTACAAGTTAAAAGTAAAAAAAATTATATAGTTAAGAAAAAAGGTATGAGTTATGATAAAAGGAGACTAATATTTGAACTCATTACTAAAACTTAATAGGGTGTAAAATAATTTAGAATTTTGTTATAAAATTGAAAATTATTGTAGGTTGTGCACTAATAGAGTGAATTGATGAGTTTAGGTCTTCAGTTCTTGAATTATGTGTGCAGATGTACTGTTTGTACTGCTTTTGGTAGATGTTGGTGGCTTGAGGAGACCCAGCCCATCTTTGCACACTGCATGAAGAAGGCTTATGGTGACAGCTGCTTGAGGGAACAGGTCAGGTCTGTGACACCAGAGACTCTGTTTCTTAGCTTTTTACTGTGACCTTGAGTGATCCTGTTTTTCCAGAATAAAACAGCACCTTCTTCTTTTTCGTAATTACCTAGTAGTTCATAGAGTTAAAAAGGTATTGGAAATTATGCATTTATGTAGCATTTCTCCACATTTTACAATGATAAAATTACACTGTAAAGCTTTTGGCCATAGAAATGAATATGATTTTATTCATTTTTTTCAGTGAAATGTAATTTTGTTAAGAAGTATATGAGATTGAGAGACTGCTAAAAATTTAGCCTGCTGGAATTATAATAGTCCTTGCAAATCTTTTTTTTTTAAATGAGGACAGTGTCCTTGGTTAGCATGATAAAAGACTCCAAATGCATTTATCTCATAAAAGGAAGAATGAAAAAATTTTAGGGTGTTCATTTGAAGATTGTATTTTCTTTTTCTTTGACTCAATTCCCCCCAAAAATAAAGAGAACAGCCTTGTGTTTTCTGCTCCTTGTGGGCATCTATTCAGTTGCTGATACCATTGTGCTCTTCTTGGCTGTCCTGTTAACATGTGAGGTCCGTGGAGGAGTTCTAACCTCAGTGGGCAGGTAGGTGTCCCAGCAGCCTGTTGCCCCTCCCCCCTAATGGCCATGGCAGGGCTCTCTTCAGAAACACCAGAACACCTTCACCACACTTCACTAAGATCTAAGAAAGGTTGCTTTTCTCCCCGGTCAGGATGCCTGCATTCACAGCCTGTGCGCTGAGGCCCGTCTGGCCTCTGGTGCCCTGCTTCTGTGTGCAGGCCCCCTGGGCATGCCCCCTCCAGACTTGCTTCCCTTCTCACCTCTCATAGGGGAGGAAGATTGCTTCCTTCTCCCCGCCCTAGCTTCTCTCTCTGGAATCTTATAAAATTAGACTGACAAAAGATTAACAAGAGAAAAATGCTGTACAGATCATGTGGGGGAAACCTCAAGGAAGAATAACTCAAAGGGATGGTTAGAAATGGTTACTCTGACATCTTAACAAATGAACAACACATTTGTAGAGAAGAGCTAAAATAAAGGAAAAGGGCTTTAGGCTTTCAAGGGTAGCAAAGTGGGAAAGTAAATATATGGGGGAATTTAATGGAGTAAGTTTTGTTTGTGCAGGGCCACTTTGCCCATAAAACTTTCCTCAGAGAGGGGATTTTTGACAATCTTCATTTTTTAGAAGTTTCTGCTTTTTAGTCAGATTAAGGGAAACTCTGGGAAAGTTTCTTTCTTCATTTATTGATGCCCGTTTGTCTCCAGCTTGAAAATAAACCCTATGTTGGGGTGGCATATTCTGGTTCCAAACATTTCCTCTTTGATTTCACTTGACTTTCAAACACTTAAGTGGATTTATTTTATGCCAGAACTTATTCTGGTCATCCTACAAATGTTAACTCATTTGATCTTAACTCTATGAGATAGGGCCCATTATTATCACATCCCCATCATACAGATAAGAGAACAGAGGCACAAACAGGCTAAGTAATTTGTTAGTATGCAGACTCCAATACTTATCAGGACTCAAATATAAGCAGTCTGATTCTGCGCTCTTAATCACTATGCTAATCTGTTACACTGTAAATTAGCAACTGGATTCTCTAACAGTTCCAGGGATACCCCTTCACCTTGTTGACTTAGCTGAAGCCTGGGTCTTTAAAGATGTATTTATTGATACAAGCACTGGGGTACAGGCCAGAGGCACGGGAGGGCGAGAGAATTCACTAGAGACAGAGTGGGGAGCAGAACAGGCAGACGGCTGAAAACACCGCTGAGGGGAGCAGTGGGCGAGACAGGAGAGGTCTGCCTTGCCATGTGGGCATCTCCTTGGCTGGCAGGGAATCGAACCG